GCTCATTTTATTGTAAATGATCAACGCCTTAAAGTTATTTTAGGCGCATGCGTACTAGAACAAGATCACACCAGTCAATACATTGAGCATAAATTAACAGAGATGGTAAATGAATGGAATTTAAAGGGCAAGATTTTTCTGGTCCTACGTGGCAATGCAGCAAGCATGGTTTGCGCAATGCGTGAACATTATGAATCAATAGGTTGTGTGGCACACACACTGCAATTAGTCATAAAATAAGCTTTATTTTCGGACGAAGTAACGAAGGACTTGTTGAAAAAATGCAGAAAATTCATAGGCCATTTTCACCACAGTGAGCCAGCAACGAGAAAATTGTTTGAGTGTCAAAAACAATGTGGACTCCAAGAACATGCTTTGGTGTAAGATGTTGATGAGAGGTTGAACAGCACGTATTTGATGTTGCGAAGACTTTTAGAGCAAAAGAATGCAGTCAACTTATGCAGTGTTGAACATGGTAAGATTGATGCTCTTTTGCTAATGAATGGGATTTGATAAAGAGCATTACCGCGGTTTTAAAATTATTATATTTTTTATTTTTAACATTAGATTTATCATTTGGTGATGAGTCCTATAAATAGTGATACCATTGATATCATTATTAAATCGAACATTACAAGCGCGATGTGAAAACGATGATGAAATGATGACAAGCATGAAGAACGCACTGCACGAGCATATGAATGTCAGATTTTCTTTTTAAAAAGTCATCCTTTGTTGCTGGTTGATACAATACTAGATGCAAAATTCAAATCGAAGTATGTCGAAATTAATGTTCTCTCAGTTTCTGGATTAATCCTGCAGGGCTTTAACATTCCTATGGATAAAGAGAGTCTGTGGGATATACACGATGATTCTTCTATCAAGGTGGAGACAACTGGACCTGAAGATGAAAGGACCATTTTGAAACAAAATATTCAATCTTATGTAGGATTGAACGGCTAATATTCGAGAGCCTTTCAGACGAAAGAGCACACTTCAAGTGTATTAGGGCTATAAAGACGACAAACGCCCTTTTTGAACCAGTCATCATTAAGAAGTTTTAGACGTCGGGTGTGCGGGAGTTGTTCTAATATTTTACTGACATTATTTTTATAATTTTGATATTTTGCCAATTTTACTATTCTTCATATTCATATTCATTAAATTATTATCATCTAACTGCCAAAAGTCCATTTTATAATTATTTGTATTAACATTCCCTACAAACTTCTCGCCCGCATGACGACGTATTTAGCATGGCCAGTCCTACCTGATAAAGAAGGGAAGGTTCCAAGACCTACATAAACTGATCTTGGGGAAAACGAGCTCCCAATGTCAGTAAACCATTGTACTGCTCGGAAAGGACTGGATAAAACCGTTGACGACCCGCTTTTAAAAATCCAAGGAAGTGAGGTTAGGAAAACAAAACACGACGACGAAAAACGGCAGAAGAATGTAAGACTTGGAACATAAAACATTGAATAAGAGGGACCAAGAGCTAGAGAAAAGAACTACGAGAGTGAAAATTGACATCTGTGCCCCGCAAGAGACACACAAAAGCAAAAGGCCAATCAGTACCGGGGAGTACCTTGCTGGTATATAGTGGAGTGAGTAAAACAACGTTTTCTACCCCGAAGGGAGGAAAACGATTATTTCGGGTCTTGCCAAAGGCTTGACCTGAGTAAGGCCTTGCCGGCTTCCTTTCTTCCGGGCGGTACTGAGGAACGGATCCGCAAACGGCTCCGGCTAGCCGTCACAACCTCAGAGGCTTAGGAGGGTAAAACCTGCCAGAGGGCTTAGGAGGGTAAAACCCCTGCCAGAGGGGCCCTCTGTTGGCAAATTCGCGCAAGTTTGGACAAGTACACACGAAAGGTGCGGTAGGTAATCTCCGTAGGTCAAGCCTTTGGCAAAACCGAAATAATCGTTTTCCTCCTTCGGGGTAGAAAACGTTGTATATTTTGCCGTTGTTTTAACGACGCATATTCCATTTATCTTAAAATTTCCTTCACTTCCAAATATTCTTCCAAATGGCAACCAAATGTTCCAAAGTTCCAAATATCATATATCGAAAATATCGAAATCAGCGACAAGACGTTCAGTTCTACCCAAGAGTTAATAAGGTACAGATCAAGAGTTCCAAAAGTACAGTTTTACAGTTCAAAACGGTAAGTTCGAAGTTCATTAACAGTTGGTGCAGAGTAATAAATTTTAACCATTAAATTATGATACAGATAAAAATGTCACGAAAGGAAAAAATCCGATTTGGCAGTTTTTGAAAAAGCATTAGCGATTCATCAAAAGCTATTTGCAAAATTTGTAAAAAGCATGTTCCTTGGGAAGTCACGAACCCAAAAACAAACTTTGCACGGAGTAAAGCTACATTTATCCAAATATCACGGCGCGGAACATAGCAAAATAATAAAACAACAAATAGAAATAGAAGATTTAAAAATGAAGATAAATTAAGGCGGACAAAAGTATTGCGTACAGATCAACCGAAACTTATTCAGCCGACGATCCCTAATTTGACCTCTAAACTTGTACAATGGTCGGATGATCATGAAGTTACTAAGAGAATTGACAAAGCAATAATGGACCTTATGATTGTGGATATGCTGCCTTATACTTTGGTGGAAAGCGAAGCATTTCGGCGACTCAATTTTACTGATCCACATGCATTACACAGATATCGGGTGAAATCAGAGAAATATTTTCGAACATCACTGATGCCGAAAACATACGAAGCAGTTAAATCGAAAATAAAAACTTTAATTGCAAAAAGCGAGCTGGACCAATGCTAGTAAAACTTGTTCACTTCTGAGCTTTACCGCTCATTTTATTGTAAATGATCAACGCCTTAAAGTTATTTTAGGCGCATGCGTGCTAGAACAAGATCACACAAGTCAATACATTGAGCATAAATTTACAGAGATGGTAAATGAATGGAATTTAAAGGGCAAGATTTTTCTGGTTCTACGTGACAATGCAGCAAACATGGTTTGCGCAATGCGTAACATTATGAATCAATAGATTGTGTGGCACACACACTGCAGTTGATCATAAAACGAGCATTATTTTCTGACGAAGTAGCGAAAGACTTGTTGAAAAAATGCAGAAAAATTGTAGGCCATTTTCACCACAGTGAACCAGCAACGAGAAAATTATTTGAGTGTCAGAAAAGAAGTGGACTTCCAGAACATGCTTTGGTGCAAGATGTTGATGTGAGGTGGAACAGCACATATTTGATGTTCCGAAGACTTTTAGAGCAAAAGAAAGCAGTCAATTTATACAGTGTTGAACACTGCTCTTTTGATGCTCTTTTCGCGAATGAATGGAATTTGATAAAAAGTATTACCGCGGTTTTAAAATTTTTTTATGAAGCAACATTAGATTTATCATTTGGTGATGCGTCCATATCAATAGTAATACCATTAATATCATTATTAAATCGAACATTACAAGCGAGATGTGAAAACGATGATGAGATAATGACAAGCATGAAGCACTGCACGAGCATTTGAATGTCAGATTTTCTCCTTTAAAAAGTCATCCTTCGTTGCTGGTGGCTACACTACTAGATCCAAGATTCAAATCGAAGTATCTCAATTCCCAGGAAGTGGATCACGCGACAGAAGAAATCATATGTTTTTGACAGAGCATAACAACGACGGCTTGGTACTGTCCCGTGACGAAATTAATGTTCCCTCTGGTTCTGGATTAATCCCGCAGGCCTTTAACATTCCTATGGATAAAGAGAGTCTGTGGGATATACACGATCATACTTCTATCAAGATGGAGACAACTGGACCTGAAGATGAAAGGACCATTTTGAAACAAAATATTCAATCATATTTATCGGAGCCATTATTGCAACGCAATGCTGACATATATGGTTATTGGAACAGCAGTCCATATCCTGCCCTAAGAAAAGCTGTTTTGAAATATCTTTCCGCTCCGCCAACCAGTGTTCCAAGTGAGCAACTGTTTAGCGCTGCTGGACAAATATACTCCGATCGTCGGAGTAACCTGCTTGGCGAAAACGCGGAAAAATTGCTTTTCTTAGCATATAATATAAGATTATTTAATTACGATTACTAAAATCTAATCTATTAAAATCTAATAGTAATCTAATAATATTATATTTTGTTTCTTTTAAGTAATTTTATCGCTGTTTTTATAAATTAAGTTAGTAGTATACTAATAGTTTAAAACCCCGTCTCACAAATAACTTTAATGTCGCGATGCGCATTTCGAAGCTAATTTCCTTCCTTCTTCAGGCGAAGGAATTATAAAACTGTTAAAGTTATTTGTAGACGGGGTTTTTAAACTCTATTAGTATTTGTTTACTACAGTGCATCAAGTAGTGTAAAAGTTAGTAGTAAGTAAGTACATATTATATTATAATTAACATATTTATTTAATTATGTTTTATGTTAGTAAAAATTGATTATAGTTGTTATTTTTAAATCTTTATTAATTAATTCATTAATTAATTTATTTATTTATTTATTAATTTTATTTAACACCATTTAACTATTTGTTTGTGTCCACAAATTGAAATAAATGAATATGATATGAAAATGTAAGTTACAGTTTCGGTTTCGGTTTCGGTTTCGGCCGACACTGAGGCCAGGGCCGAAATTTCGGTTTCGGTTTCGGCTAAAACCAGTTTCGGTCGGACTCTACTTCTGGGACGTAATCAGCAACCCGCCAACTCAAGATAAGTACCCAACCCTAAAAACGGCAATATTAAGCCGATTCTCTGATTCCAGACAAACACAACTGCACAAACTCCTCAGAGACATGACACTCGGCGACAAACGATTCTCGCAACTCCCGCGGGAGATGCGCGAGCTAGCAAAGGTCTCCATGGAAGATGAGGCGCTGCACCAACTCTTGAAAGAGCGTCTCCTGCCTGGGTACGCCCATACCTCCTGGTCTCAACCAACCTAAACGATCTCAACAGCCTGGCGGAAATAGCGGACCGCCTCGTGCTCAACATGGGCAGCAGCTCGGTCTACGCCGTACACAACAGAGACCATATACAAAGAGCGGGACCTTCAAAACTCGACCAGCAAATCCTGGAACTCAAGATGACCCTGAAAAGCTGCCAGCAAGAGATCAATAACCTACAGCTAAGTCAACAACAAATCACGAAACAACTGACCGGTGAACGTTCTTGACATGTCAAAGCATGAAACCACACTGATTTTAAAAACATTTATTTAAGCTTATTAAATAAAAATTTTACACATAAATGTCCACAATTAAATAAATTTCCACCTTGAAAATTATCATGATTGTATTGTATAAAACACTTAGAAAAGTACTTTTTCACCTCTAAAGGTGGTTGAAGATTTCCATAACCATCGAAATATTCTACATTTTTGTTATGCTTTATATATGCAACCCAATGCGTACCCGCCCCTTTACTTGTATCGAGATTTATAATTCCCAATTCATTTTTATGTGGACTTGCTGGTAGAGAATTTCTCATAAATACCCCTCTAAAATGTTTTAAATTTCTACAGTATTCCTCCAAGTCATAATTGGTTAATGCTCTTTGAGGTAATTTACTGATGTTGATTGCTTCATTTTTCTTTGTTTGTGCTGGTATTTGTTTTTCCCTAAAAAAATACCCAACCCTTTGCGATATGGTTTCAGATATAGTAAGCAGATTAGAGAGAGGCTCTAAGGAAAGGAAATCAATGAGTGGATACAACACAGAAGGTCAGAATGGAACAATCACATCAGTAGGATGGAGACCACAAGAATAGTCAGAGTAGCACGCGACAAATCGCCACAAGGGCGCAGGTCGCTGGGAAGACCTAGGAAAAGATGGTCAGATGTAATACAATGAAGAAAAACAGGCTATTGCCTACATAAGAGAAGAAGAAGAAGAAGAACATTCCTACAAAATCTGGGGGCTCAACCTAAGGACTTGCTACAAAATCTCGAGGCTCAACTTAAGGACTTGCTACAAAATCTGGAGGTTCAACCGAAGGACTTTCTATGAACATTGAGTGGGTGAGTGAACATAGACGATAATGACAATAAACACTGACGCGCCGTTTCACATCGGCCGTGTGAGCGTAACGAAGACGTAAAGAAGCCAAAAGTTGCGGCCGTGAGCAAAAAGTGAGCAAATTTAGACGATATTAAAGGTGCAAGCTGAAAAGATGGAGATCAACTGTTTACACGACAATCCGCGTGCCGCGAAACAGATTGATAATGCACCCGCGAGTTCACTAAGATTAATGCATGAAGTAATATTTGATGTTGTTGCGCCGCGAATGAAACATAAATTTGTACGCACTTTTTCGGGTTTTGGTTTCACCAAAAACTCAAAAGAGTATGAACATTTACGAAGGAGAATTTACGAGAAATTCTCAGTAAAGCAGTTAACAACCGCGTGCAATATGTTAGATATTGACGACAGTAGTAAGAAAGACGAGATGTGGGATCGCGTGTGTGAAGTGCTCAGAGACTTGAACAACTTAAAGAAGCACCAGCTACCCGACGATGATTCAAACGACGAGGACGACGACGGCGATGAAGAAGACGACTACGACGACGACGGCGATGAAGAAGATGACTACGACGACGACAGCGATGAAGAAGACGACAACGACGACGACGGCGATGAAGAAGACGACTACGACGACGACAGCGATGAAGAAGACGACTACGACGACGACAGCGATGAAGAAGACGACTACGACGACGACGGCGATGAAGAAGACGACTACGACGACGACAGCGATGAAGAAGACGACTACGACGACGACGGCGATGAAGACGACTACGACGACGACGAGGAAGACGACAACGACGACGACGACGACGACGACGAGAACGACAACGACGTGAATTTACAACACTTAAGACGAAAAATGCTTCATTCTTGTGATCGAAAAAATTTGGATAACCGTGCTAAAGTTAAAGACGACGAAATACCAAGAGGAAGCCAAAGGCGTAAGAAGTGCAGCTCCCAACTCTGCAAGGAGAAGAAGAAATCGAGAAGACGATACGAGGACGAGGATGAATTCTAACCACGAGCATCCACATCGAATTCAAAAATTACATTATCCTTTCGAGACGTTGAGGATATGTTTAGACCGTTTACGGGCGAAGACGCGTATGGTATTGAGACATGAACCGAAGAGTACGATGAAATTGTGGTCATGTTAAATCTCAATGCTTTACAAAAGCTTATTTGTGCGAAAAAAATGCTTAAAAGGTCTAGCTAAGAAGTTGGTCCAGAGTGAAATTGGACTAAACAATTGGCGAAATTTAAAAGACGCATTAAAAGATGAATTTGGCGACCAATTAAGTGATGCAGATGTACACAAGAATATGATGAGCCGCAAAATACAGAAAGGAGAATCAGTCCAAGAGTATTTGATTGTGATGAAGGAAATGGGGTATAAGGGAAACCTAGATAAGCCGACAATATCTTGGTTTAAAGAAAGAGCGATTCTGTCAACAACTAACGAACCAGTAGATAAAGCAAATATCTTGATTCTTTCAAAAATTGATGCGCTGACGAAAGTATACTACTCGGTTGATACTGTTCTCGATTTGGAAGAAGCTGTTCATTTTCCTACAGAATTTCTAAACTCTTTGAACTCGTCTGGACTCCTTCCTCACAAAATGGTGTTGAAAGTAGGTTGCCCTGTTATTTTATTAAGAAACCTGAATCCACCTAAACTTTGCAATGGCACGCGTTTGCTGGTAAAATCATTGAAAACTTTCATAATATCGTAGAGTGCACAATACTCAGAGGCTGTGGTACCGGAGAAGATGTATTGATACCCCGAATACCTCTGATACCATCGGATTTACCCTTCCAATTTAAACGTTTACAGTTTTCGGTAAAGACATCTTTTGCAATGACCATTAATGAATCACAGGGCCAAACCTTCAACGTTGCAGGCTCAGATTGGAGCGTTGACTGTTTTTCACAGGGACAACTGTATGTCGCTCTTTCAAGAGTGACCTCCAGAGAAAACATGTTTGTATTGTCTAATGACAAGAAAGCTGTGAACGTTGTTTATAAACATTCAGTAATATGTTGTAAAAATAAAATAAATAGTTAAAAATATTAATATTAAAAAATGATCTATTGTTCGATCATGTAAATCAGCATTTTCGTTGTTTTGCTCACATTTTGAACCTTGGAGTTCGATATTTTAAAAATGTTGAAAGTGGATTTTGAATCCGAAAGTATTATTCCGGACATCGAAGTAGACGATACAGATGATGACGATTTAAGTGAAAATGAATGGACTGAAATCAATGATTTTAGTCCATCATCTACGCATTATAAATTGCGTCATTACATTTTATTAAAATAAGAAAATCTGAGCAGTTACAAAACCAGTAAATCGACTTTTGTAAAATAACGACAACAAGATACCATTAAACCTATTTTAGATATTAAGACTAGATGGAACAGTACTCGCGGCATGATTGAAGTCGGTAAATTTGAAAATAGTTTAAATATATTTTGGCTCAGTGAGAGAAAATAATAAAAGTATAGCAATGTTAAACTAAGTGAAAAGTAGATAGGTCTTGCTTGAATTAGATATACCTATTTAAAAAAAAAAATTAAATAGTGTCAAACGCAATTTGTAGGGAAAAATATGTGACACTGCAATTTAACATGAATTTACTTTAACAATACTTATCGGATATTATTGGATCGACAATTTCAGGTTAGAATAAATTAGGCAAATCACTTTTCTTGTCGACGAAACTCAACAATTGCTTTTCAAGCATCAAGAGATAAGATGTTTTAAAGCACTACAAAAAACCAATTGGGTTTATTGTTTGAGTTTAATTTTAGATCCTCGGCACAAAATTAGAATGAATTTGATAAAACTAATTGGGAAAAGAATTAAAACATGCGGCTTTATCCAATGTTTCGAACTATTTTATAAGGAATATGCGAAAAACACCCTCGAGCAACCTATTGACACGATATTAATTAAAAGAAATACAATTCAATTAAAAAATGTTTTGACATTAATAGCCTATATAGGACATCAATAGATCTTTGAAACATTGGAAAGCTCAGTATGAAAGTATTTTATTGGGGTACGCTGGATAGAATAAAATATTTTGGAATGATGGAAGGAACATGAGAAGAGTCTTTTCCTACACTTTCAATGATGGACAGGGATTTATTCAGCACAATGGCTACATCCGTTTCTGTAGAAAGGTTATTTTCTACTGCAGGTATGATTATGACAAACGTTCATCATTAAAAAGATACGTGTGGCGTTACTCTGCTTAAATTTTTGGTCATCCTTTGATTTAAAGATAAATATTGAATTGTTGGGGGCACCCGTGAAACTCCGTTGTCTAGTCGAAAAGAAAAAGGATTAACCTTAAGGGTTTTCACAAAACTTTTAACACTCCAAACATGTTTATACACTATGGCATCATCGGAGCAGATGAATATTGTGGGTAGATATTTAAGTAGGTCATCAGTGATACGAAGATGTGGCGAAACATACAGGATGTTAAAAGTTTTGGCTGGCCTTAAGACTAATCCATCAAAAGCTGATGATGCCCACAAGGACTGAAACGCTAGCAAAACTCACTTACATACAAAATTGTAAAATCAAAGATAATCACAAAATTAATTTAAAAAATACATTTTATAAACCATGGATTACGTATTCAACTTAGAAAATAATATAATTTTATCCACCTATTGAGTTAGATCCCAATATCAGGTACTGCATTGGACTCATTGGTTTCCACACGTTCAACTCAATACCAAACATTGAAAAAGACATCAACGATAAAGTCTATATTACGAGCGCTTCTAACAAAGATGAAAAGTGGGTAATTACAATTCCCGAAGGAGCGTATAAAATTTCCGATATTGAAGACTACTTGTATGAATTTGTTTAACTCCTGGTACACAGTAATGCTTTAAGAGAAGAGGTGTTGCGTATAAAACCAAACACAAATACGCTAAAGACTGAAATTTATAGTAAATATTTTAACGTTAATTTCAACGAAAAGTATTCACTTGCATCATAATTTGCTTCTGATTCTACAAGAGTCTTAAGCGCAGGCGAAGAGTATTCTTCCGATCGTGAGGTGGACATTATAAAAGTAACCAGTGTGGCAGTTGAATGTAACATTGCAACCGGGTCTTATCGCAATAACCATCAATCTCATGTGATTTTTGATTTTGCACCAGACGTCAATCCCGGAGTTGCTATAAATAAAGAGCCGCAAAGTGTTCTCTATCTGCCAGTCATTAACAAACCGTTCATCGATAACATTACCGTACGAATTCTAGACCAAGAAGGTAAATTACTTAATCTTCGTGGTGAAAGAAGAGTTGTGAAGCTGGAATTAAAACCATCAAATGGGTATTCATTTCAATAACTACAGTGGAGGTTCTCAAAGAAGATATAAATTTACCTCCCCTTCAGTTTCAAGAGTTTTTTCACAAATGAAAGTAATAAAAATAGTTTCAAATGGTGAAACATATAAAAATTACATAGGCGAAATACCGTTGAGTTTGATACTGTTATTGATAAAGGTATGTGTGTATACTTACTATAATTTTATAATAATTATTAAAAGAAAGTTATAGGGAATCTCGTACAGCCGTTGGGCGCAAATATGGGATAGAGTTTAGAGTTGATGAAGTTCGCGAAGAAGAGTTAGCAGCATGGTGGAATGACGATGGTGAGGTGTGGAATGACTACTATTTTCGTAATTTTATCGCAGAAGAAAAAGGTTTCTTCATGATACTCTGCTACAACGACTGGTTCAATTTTTATTTTCAACCGCCATCATCACCCATTGGTCACGACGATAGCGACAACGACGACGAGGACGATGGGGATGACAACGAGGGCCACGGCAACGACGACCACGAGGAGGACAACAACGATGATGACAACGACAATTACTGCATCAATGAGGATGAAATGGACCCACCTTATGTAAACATGTGCCATTCATATTTTATAACTACATGTGTGCAGTGATTGTTTTAGTGAGTATAAATCGTTAGTTGGACAAACAATTATCTCGGATCGTCCTGGGTTTAATCGCGTTAATTCGAACTATTTAAGCGAATTTATTAGTGATGAATGCCAGTGCAATATGCATTCGGAAGCCGCTTTTACCATTAGTTATTCTTAGTTTTTTATGTATTATGTATATATTAGATACTATTAATTATTCTTAGTTTTTATGCATTATGTATATAGGGAGAGTAGGGTAATGGGAGTCAGCGGGTAATGGGAGTCACCCATATATCCACGAAACAATAGTTACGAGTAACGCGTAAATGGCGTCCCTACCTCCGTTCTGGTCCCCAGTGCCACCCCGACAAATCATACAAATCGGTGCGTGTATCATTGAGATACGCCAATATTTTATTTTGAGCTCCGCTGATCTAATTTTACGTCCACGCAAATTAGAAGATAAGTGTCGAATATCTTGCAATATTCGAATGAAACTTTATATAGTCTTAGTTAAACATTCAAAATCGTGATGTGCAGTTCAGATTACATTAATGTTTTGAAGAAATATTTTTGTTTTTTTCACAATAGTGCAATTGTAGGCAATGGGAGTCATGCGACTCCCAATGGACGTTTTGTCTTTAGTCCGCTCTAAATTGCCTATAAGAAGCAATGTGACTTATTTTTCAATAGCCTTCTTGCAGAAACGATACTGCAGGAAAGTAACAAAACCCTATATGTATTAGATACTTTAACAATTTTTATACAATTTTATAACATTCTGTTTAGAACATTTGGCATAAGCTATAGTATGATTAAAACAATCAATAATAAAGTTTTTTTCAAATATCACACCATCCCATTGGACATCCCATTTGATTTACATGGGCCCCACACCTTAACTCGCCATTTTTACACTACTTATAATGTAAAACGTAAATTATTAAATTTAATATTTTAAATAATTTTAAGTTGTACTACGGGGGGCGAGCCCTTTGCGGTCAATGCGCGTGAAGACAACCTTCGCACTGAGCATTTCGTGGAATTAGTAT